GGCGCGCGGCCTGCAGCTGAGCGCGCTGGCCCTGGCGCCGGCGGAGGTGCAGGTGCTGCGCGAGAGCGGCTCGGAGGCGGAGCGCGCGGCGGCACGGCGCCTGGAACCCGCGCGGCGCTGGGCCGGCTGCGCCCTGGGCGCGCTGCTGCTTCTGGCCAGCCTGGCGCAGGCGGCACTGGCGGTGCTGCTGTACGGGGCGGCCGGCCAGCGCGCCGTGCCGGCCGTGCTGGGCTGTGCGGGGCTAGTGTTCCTGGTGGGTGAGGTGCTCCCGGCCGCCGTGAGCGGACGCTGGGCGCTGGCGCTGGCGCCGCGCGCGCTGGGCCTCAGCCGCCTGGCGGTGCTGCTCACCTTGCCCGTGGCACTACCTGTCGGGCAGCTGCTGGAGTTGGCGGCGCGGCCGGGGCGTCTGCGGGAGCGCGTGCTGGAGCTGGCGCGCGGCGGCGGCGACCCCTACAGCGACCTCAGCAAGGGAGTGCTGCGCTACCGGACCGTGGAGGACGTGCTCACGCCGCTCGAAGACTGCTTTATGCTGGACTCTGGCACTGTCCTAGACTTCAGCGTCCTCGCCAGCATCATGCAGAGCGGCCACACGCGCATCCCAGTGTACGAGGAGGAGCGCTCCAACATCGTGGACATGCTGTACCTCAAAGACTTGGCCTTCGTGGACCCCGAGGACTGTACGCCGCTCAGCACCATCACTCGCTTCTACAACCATCCACTCCACTTCGTCTTCAACGACACCAAACTGGATGCTGTCCTGGAGGAGTTCAAGCGAGGTAAAGGGATGCCCCTATTAGAAAGGGTCTCGCCCTGCCAGAGACCCTTCCCAGAAAGTGATAGCCTTGCACCTGAGAATGACCTTTGGAAATATTTAAAGACCCACCTTTTAGAAGCGGAAGGAAGTGCTGTGAGAGTCTGATGCGGGAGGATCGGAAGTTGGTTACCCTATTTGTTTTTTGTTTTGTTTTTTTTTTTAAGTTGGGGATGTAGCTCAGTGCTTGCATAACATACACAAAGCCCTGAGCACTCCCCAGCACCACATACAGGCAGTGGTCTACCTACTTAAAAGGATGGAAGCCGGCCCGGGGTAAAGATTCCGTCTCAAAAGTAATGAATGAATAAAAGTTCCATTGGCAGGCAGCAAGCATGCCTACTTGGCTGTAATCCCAGAGGTTTCCTTCTCCTGGGCCGTTTTGTGCACTTGGACTTCCTAGCTGCCCCAGATTCTTGGATAGTAACTAAAATGATGTCAAGAGGGTTAGGTAACTGGAAACTGTTGTCTTTGCCTTTTTAACATTAAATTAGCTAGATCTGTGATCGTTCCTGGCCTACCAGATTGTGGGGTTAGGAGGGACTCATAAATGCTTCCTATGGGTACTGAGAGAACTTTCATTTTAATGTCATCGAAAGCAACTCATTAATAATGATTTAATTTCCCTTCTGGCTTCCCCCAAACCCCCCTCTTAAAATTATTTTTGAGATTTCTATTATGTGTATGAGTGCATGCAGTGCCTATGGAAGCCAGAAGAGGGCGCTGGGTTCCTTGGGACTGGAGTTACAGACAGCCACTCTGTGGGCCCGGGAACTGAACCCTGGGTCCTCTGGTGCTCTTGACAGCTGAGCCATCTCTCCAGCCTCCTCCCTTTCATTTAAATTGTTTTTCAGCACATGCCAGCTGCTCACTTGTCCCATACCACATCCCCAGTTCAGTCTCCCCTTTTTTGCCTTAATGTCTCTGGGACTCTCACCTCTCCCAACTCCTTTCAATGGTGTTTGAGCAGCCTTTTTTGTTTTTTAAGATTTACGTGTTTTATGTGTGTGAGTGTTATGTACACTGTGTATATCTGGTGCCTGAGAAGGTTAGAAGAGGGCTTCAGATCCCCTGGGACTGGAGTTGTAAATGGTTGTGAGACATCGTATGGGTACTGGCAACTGAACCCAGGTCTTCTGCAAGAGTAAATGTATTTGAACGTCTACTAAGGTTGAAAGAAAAGTCTATGAGGCGCTCCACATGTTAATATGTGGACCTCTAGAGGGCAGGTGGCACACACCTTCAGTCCCAGCACTTGGGGAAGCAGAAGCAGGCAAATCTCGTGAGTTCAAGGACACCCAGGGCTACACAGAGAAAGCCTGTCTTGAAACAAAAACAACAAGGTGTAGGCTCCTGTGCAGCAGCACTCCGTCCTTGTCCTTAGGCTGCTTCCCAGAGCCTGGGTGCTCCTTTCGCGCCAGATGTGCTTCGGTGGAATTCGGGGTGGATGTGCACCGGGTGGCTGTATGATAGGATGGAGCAAATGGAACAAACCCCCTTGAACTGGTTAACCGGCAGGTTTTCAGGCCCCAGGGTCTGTCAGTGAAACACAGCGTGTGCCAGGCTCTCATGGGCACCCTGCATGCCCAGTCTCCCTTGTCTTTGCAGGAGACCTGTGTGTAGATCATGAACAGGTGAATGGGAGGCTTGAGTGAGCAGCTCTGACTGTGTCTGACCTCTCAGGTGTGTCCTGGCTTTTCCTATAACTTGGTCCTGCAGACTCTTTCTAGGGAGTGGATAAATAGTATGGTGTCTGGGCTGCTATAACCTAAAGCCAGTCACTTCTCACAGAGTGGGAGCCAGCCAGCAGGGTTCTGTTCCGGCCCTGCCTCCTTTGAGTTCCCAGGCCCTAGGAAGAGTGCCCAGGCTCTCTTCCTCTATAGTTTACCCAAGAAGAGAGACTTAGGTCTGGGGTGCTTGTCAGTCTAGTGACTCACTCCTGGGAGATGAGGTTTGTTAGTGCCCGGCACATTAGCCTTTTCAAGGTGACCCTGGAGGGATCGGTCTATTTTATAGAGACAGACCATCACAGTCCCTTGGATGCCTCAAACTCTCTCTGGATTACTCATCTCACCAAGGACAGTGACATATGTCTTGCCAGAGCAAGTTCTGCTTCACCTGTGTCAATAGGAAAGAAATGTCCCAGGTGAGGACAGAGGCAGGAGGATTTGAATTTGAAACCATGCAGGATGGAGGGAGGGGTGGTTAGCAGGGGAGATATTGGTCATAGTGTCCCATTCCAGCTGGACCTGTGCTTTGTCTCTGCAGCTCAGGTCAGGACGGTAGGGGGATAAGGATTGTCTGGAGATAACTGAATGTAAGCTTCGGGCATTAGTACTGGTTGTAAGGATGAGAGCTGTTTTTCATTTTCCAGAGCCTTAGTTAAAGTGTTCACAGAGGGAAGACAAGTGGGGCCCTTGTGTGTCACCTTACAGACGTGGGTCATTTGATCAGCAGGGCTGTGAGCCAGGAGCAGCACTGCCTCAGTGTTCTGTGTTTGGAGACAAGGTCTCATTGTGTGCCTTTGGCTCCTGTGAACTCAGATCTTCCTGCTTCTGCCACCCAAGCGCTTGACTAAAGTGCTTGGTGCATCCTGTACCTAGAGTGTCTGGTTCTCACTGATTGGTGCTTGATGTGGACACCAGTGACTCAGGGAAGCCACATTGGCCTGAGGAGGTGACCCAGGGAGGCGTTAGGAGGTAGAATAGAGAACGTGTGCTGTGCTTGGCTTAGGGCCGTGGAGCCAGAGGTTGTACTGAGGATGCCTCGGAGTCTTACGGTGTTTTGGCTTCCTTAAGGGCTGGAGCCAGGAGCGGGTGAATATTTTCTTACATTGGAGGTTGTGTCCCAAGAGGTAGATTCCTAGCAGGCAGCTGATACGGACTGCACACAGGGTTAACTAATCTATCTCCAGAGCCTGGGAACACAAAGCAGGAAGATGAGGCTAGAAAAGTTGCCGCAAACAGGCTGGGCAGTGGAAGTAAGAGTCTCAGAATGTCCTGAAAGCTAAGGGGATAGACCACTTTGTAAGAGAAGGGGTGGGGGGTATAAGGAGAGGTCAGCAGTGGGATGTCCTTGACTTTTCCTCCAAGTGCTAGGGAGGGAACCTAGAGCCAGGTACTTGTTAGTCAAGCAGTCTGTCCTCTGGAGAACCAAGCATCCTGATGCTGAAGGACTTGGGGTTGAGTACCTCTCTGTTTAAATAGACTGTTCCAGAAGCTGTTCAGTAACATGCCTTCTAGAAGCAGTGGGGTCCTTTCTGTCCCCCTTGACTTCCTCAGCCCTGTGGTGAATGAGGAGCTTCCTTGGCCTCTGCGATCCTGTATTTCCATGTGGGTCCTTTTCTTCTCAACTCCTCTTAAGAACAAAGGACAGCCAGGCAGTGGTGGTGCACACCTTTGATCCCAGCACAAAGAAGGGCATACTACAGTCTTCCTGTCACTTTGATCACTTCTCTCCACTCTGCCAGGCATCTGAGTCTGTGGTGGCCACTGATCTTGTATCTGGTATCTTGTCTGCTACCCTTTGGGGCCCTGTTCCATGATGTCAGTTCAAGCAGCATTAGATTGGGAATGTGTCCACTGAGGAGAGGTGCCCCCTGGCAGGGATTATTTTGTGCCTGAAAGAGAAAATGCTTTGGAGCTGCAATGACTTGTGTTTTCTGTAAAGCAATCAACCCCTGCTTTCTTCCCTGCCCGCCCCACAGGCCTCTTGAAGCAGAGGAAGGATTAGGGGTAAGCTTTCACTCAGCCTCTGCCTTCGCCAGCTTGAGGTATGGTTTTCTCTCATCTGTCAGAAGCCAAGTGATTGTCATGGTGCTGAGATGAGTCAGACCTCGGATGCTGGGAGGAATGCGACCACGTGGTTTTTCTCAGTGTGCACACATACATGGTTGCTTTAGAAGAGAGCAAAGGGATCCCAGCACTTGGGAGGCAGAGGCAGGCGGATCTCTGAGTTCGAGGCCAGCCTGGTCTACAGAGTGAGTTCCAGGACAGCCTGGGCTATAAAGAGAAACCCTGTCTCGAAAAAAAAACAACAAAAAAAAAAAAAAAAAGAAGAGAGCAAAGGGGCTTGAGGCAGTGCTGGCAGTAGTGAGAAAACAGGAGGCCCTGGTTTCTGTTCCCAGCAGAGAGAGAGATCTATGCACGCATGCGTGCATGCACACACACTAACAAAAATGAAAATTCTAAAGCCTTTGGTCTGGTTCTTTCAGCCTCTCAGGGCAGTTATACCTGCCATGGTTCTGTGGAGCTGGCCTAGCCAGATTGTACATCCGCCCTGGGGAGTATTCAGTCCTGTCCAGTGGGGACACAATGTTATTCCTTAGAGCCTCCCTTTCAGTTCCCCTGCTGCCTAGGAAAGGCCTTCTGTCCCTTCACAGTGTCTTCCAATGTGTTCACGTGGCGGGGGACTTCTCCCGTTTATGATTGAATCCTCCTGGCCATTCTGCAGCAGGCCACAGAATCGTGAGCCTTTTTCAAAGAAGTCAGGGATATAGGAGATGTTAATCTCTCCTGTTAGTGGGACCAGAGGGACTCACCCACACTTGCAAGGAGGGAGCTGAGTTGAGGCTTCTCTGAGTGACCTTTTAGAACCCAGCCTTTGGGTTTGAGAATTCAAAACTTGCACGTTGCACTCATGACCTTCCCTGCTTGGCCTCACGAGTTTGTATCCCATGGTAGATCAGCCCTTGTGGGAATGGCACCTGCCTGCTAGCTTTGGCCAGCCATAGCACTGGCAGTAAAGTTTGGAAGGAATTTAGAAACCCAGCAGGCACTCCAACCCAGTGCCTCTGACTCAGCAGACTTAGCAATTGTCAGGGGGTCCCTGCAGGCTGCAAATAAGTGTCCCTCCTACAGGCAAGTCCCACCTGGCCATTGTGCAGAAGGTGAACAATGAGGGCGAGGGCGACCCCTTCTACGAGGTGCTGGGCCTAGTCACCCTGGAGGACGTCATTGAGGAGATCATCAGGTCCGAGATTCTGGATGAGTCTGAAGACTACCGTGAGTTTGACAGCTGCTTTTCTCTAACTCAGAGCCCTTCCAGCAGCTTGAAGGGCGTTTCTATCAGAGGCCTGTGGGTCTTGATGCTGCTGAAAACAGGCGGGAGCTCCAGCCAGACCAGACCTCCCCTCCTCTGGCATGGGCTAGTGCTGCCCCTCCATACAAGCCATGCCTTTCTTCTGTGTTTGCCAGCCCACATTCCTCTGTGCTTAGCTCCTTGTGCATTCTTTGAATTGGATATGAAGCTCAGTAGTAGAGTATTTGTCTAGCTTGAATGGGCCTGAGTTTGGTCACCTTCTGCACACAGGTAAAAAAAAAAAAAAAAATGGCTTTAATCCTAGCCAGGCAGAGGCAGGTGAATCTCTTGAGTTCCCAGCCAGCCAAGGCTACATAGTAGACCCTGTCTCCAAAACAAACAAACAAAAAAGTTATTTCTTACCAAGCAGGTTGTGGGACCCTTGATAGCTGGAGCCCCACATGGCCGCTTGGGACCCTGCACTGCTGTGTCTGTGCATTCGGCTCTGTTCTGGGCTGATGCAGGTCACCAGGGTAGCTGCTGCCATTTGCTATGGGCGATGGTCAAACATGGGTATCTGTAACCCTAACAGCAGGAGAGCCAGGCTTCCTCTGGGCGTGGCCAGTAGTGCACTAGGATTATTGTCTGATGGGCACAGTAGCTCAGTGTCTTACAGGAAGCAGCCCCAAAGTTGTTTCCTTAGGGTCCTGGTGATATCTTCCCTGAAATCCCTGAACCTTGGGCAGAAGGTATAGGCGGCAGAAGCACTTGCTCTGTCTGTGTTCATCATTGGGTGCTGGCGCCTACTCACACTGTCTGTTCACTACCCCAGCAGACACAAAGGTGAGGAAGAAGACTGTTGCCCTGGGCGCCCCTCTCAAGCGGAAGGAGGAATTCTCCTTATTCAAGGTGTCTGATGATGAATATAAAGTAAAAATCTCGCCTCAGCTGCTCCTGGCCACCCAGCGCTTCCTTTCCCGAGGTGAGGGTGAAGGGTGGTCCTTGCCCCTGGTCTCACCACCCAGAGGGTCAAGAAACCACCCAGGCCAGACACCAGCCTCCTAGCGAGCTGGACAGAGCTAGTTGATGTCTCCTGGTAAGGCGTGCTCTGGGACCCTCATCTGGCTCATGTTGTGTGTCCTCTTGGCTCTCTTGTGTGGACTACCGCAGCCCAGGGGCCACTGGGAGAGCCCAGGAGGCAGCAGGAGGCAGGTGTGATGACAGGCCATTTGGGCCCCAGTGGACACTGTCCCTTTCTCCCACCGTGGGGCAGAGGTGGATGTCTTCAGCCCATTGCGAGTCTCTGAGAAAGTCTTGCTGCACCTGCTGAAGCATCCCAGTGTCAACCAGGAGGTGACGTTTGACGAGAACAACCGCTTGGCCGCACACCATTATCTGTACCAGCGCAGCCAGCCGGTAGACTACTTCATCCTCATCCTGCAGGTAACCATGGTTGCCCAGGCCTGGAGCCTGAGAGTGATCCAGACTTACACCCTTAAACATGGCAGCTGAGGGCCTCTCTGTACTCCCCTGTGATGGGAGAGATAACCTGTCCGCCTCTGTCGTCTTCCCAGGGCAGGGTCGAGGTGGAAATTGGGAAAGAGGGCCTGAAGTTTGAGAACGGGGCCTTCACATACTATGGAGTGTCTGCCCTGACAGCTCCATCTTCAGGTAAGCCATGGCCCCTTTGGAGCTGAGGGTTGTGGATATGGCTAGCAGACCTGCCCTTGACACTCTGCTGCTGCGGCAGGTCTCTGTGTCTGCCCAGAACGAGCTACTTGTCACCAAGCAGTATAGAGGGTAGAGCTGCATTTCTTCCTTGTTTATCTTGATCACCCACTTGATTCTTGCAAACGCTCCAGGGTGGCCCCCCATCTTCCATGTTCCCACCGTCCCCTCTCAAAGGTGACTTGAGGGGTAGGCCCTGGGGCCTGTACCGTTGTCCTGTTGGATTCCACCGCCTCTTATCCTTACTTCCGTAGCTCACCAGTCCCCAGTGTCTTCACGCCAGCTCATCCGCCACGACCTGCAGCCTGAACTAGCCGACAGTACCCGCCCCTGCACATACTGTCCTGACTACACTGTGAGGGCCCTCTCTGACCTGCAGCTTATCAAGGTGACTGTCTGGGCTGCATGGTGGTGCTCCTTTTGACTGCCTTTGTGCTCCAAGGGGCTGGTCCAGCTGCTCGGTGTGAGGATGGAGAGTGAACTCAGCTCGAGAAGACATGCTCACACCCTGAGTGGTGGGGCCTCCTGCTCCCCTGGACTACTGGGGTCTGGGCCTGTCTGGAAACCTTACATCTGATCTCTGTTAACAATCCTGACACTTGGCCAAAAACCAAAACCTCTTGGCTCAGAGGCTTTTTGCCTTTCACCAGTTTAAAGTCCTACCTATCAGAACTCGGAGGCGGGAGCTCTGCTGTCTGCACCTCACAGGGGTGCCTGCTGGGTAATTTCTCTATTCTCTTATCCTCTAGGTCACACGGCTGCAGTATCTTAATGCACTCCTGGCTACCAGAGCCCAAAGCTTGCCTCCATCCCCAGAGAATGCCGAGCTCCAGGCCATCCCAGGCAGCCAGACCAGGCTCCTTGGTGACAAGTCCAGAGAGACAGCAGGTAAGTGCCACATGGTGTATCATGAAGTGCTGGGGCCCAGAGGTCGTGTGGAACCCTGATTCTGCTCCCTGCTTCTCTGTCTCGAATCCTTCTGTTTCTCTGCATCCTTTCCCTTCTTGCTGTTTGTAGAAACTTGGATTATACTGAATTAATAGATCAATCGGCACTCCAAATAGAGCCCAGCCTTTTCTCTGTGTGGCCTCTTCTAGATGACTTAGTTAGTTCTTGATGAGTATGGAGATGTTCAGTTTAGAAACCCTCAACCCACTTATGATCAGGGTTAGGTCTAGAGAATCAGGTTTGCCAGGGCCAAGGAACACTTGATGAAGTGTTCAACACATGTGAAGGCCTGTAGAGCTAGAAGCAGAAAATGCTTGGGTGGGATGCAGTTTGCATTGTGGGTAGACATTAGCCTGCCCCACAGAGTCAGTGGTGTGTGGTGAAAAGCCAGGATTTTTCTGTGGTTTCTTGACTTGATCAGTCAAGCTGAGCCTTGGAAGTATTCTGGAAGGCAGGCTGGCGGGCAGGCGGGCGGGCAGGCAGGCTGTGCCTGTCCCTCAGTCCATTCTGCCACCCTAGGGAGACAAGTCATTCACTCCGCAGGCACCATGTTTACAGCTGACTGTCTGCACTGGCAGAGCTCCCCTTGCCAAGGAGTGGTGGGGGTGCTGGGCTTGTCCAGTACATGAGGGCCCGTGGCTGCAGCCTCCCAGGAACTCAGAGCTGAGGTCATGTGAGATCACTCACGAGCACATTTTTACAGTAGAAATTGCTTTCTGGGATTAAAGGTGTGCGCCACCACTGTCCGGCAGAAATTGCTTTCTGAATCAGGTGATGCACAAGTACACAGGACAGAGACCCATGACCCAGCCCCATGGGCTCCATGGAGCTCTAGGTATTCCTGGGGAACAGCCTGTGAGGCAGAACTTGTAGTCTTGGCTGTGGGCATGGGCCACCTTCAGTTTCAGAAAGGCATGTTTAGACCATGTTACAGTGTTTACCGTGGCATGTTGTAAAATACCCCAGCTTCCACATTCACATGGTCACGTTAGCTTCATCGAAACTTGTTTTTAAAACACGAGTGGTTTTGGCTCCATCCACTGCTCGGGCTCTACAGGCTGTATTCAGAGTGCAGACCTGAGCTGGGAACAGTATAGTCCTCCCGTCTTCTGAGGGAGCTGTCCACCAGGGTGTTCTTCCTCTCCTTCCCTCCTCCCCTCCTCCCCTCTTCTCCTCCCCTTCCTTCCCTCCTCCCCTTCTCTCTTCCCCTTCCACTTCACTTCCTCCTCCTCCTCTCCTTCCCTGCCTCTCTTTCCAAGTGCTTAGGGGATTGAACTGAGAGGCTTGCCCACACGAGGCAGCTCTCTGCCATGCAAGCTGTACCTCAGGGGTCTAGAGATTTTTTTTTTTTTAATTCCTCTTGGCTAAGCTGGGCGGTGGTGGCGCACGCCTTTAATCCCAGAACTTGGGAGGCAGAGGCAGGCAGACTTCTGAGTTCGAGGCCAGCCTGGTCTACAGAGTGAGTTCCAGGACAGCCAGGGCTACACAGAGAAACCCTGTCTCGAAAAAAAAAAATCCTCTTGGCTTTGCCTACTCTTTGGGCTGTCTTACAAAAGAATAATTTACAGTGGCTTGTGGGCCATTTCGTCTGTGTGATGGTTTATCCACCCTGTTTGCCAGCATAATGTTGGCAATTTTCACCTAAATAGGACCTGATGCTTGCCCCATTGAGGTTTGCCTAACTCTGGGGTCTTCCTGTGTCTGTCCCTGTCTCTGAGGAGATTAGTGTTACTAAACAGAGCTGGTTTCAATGAAACTGATTAAAGTAGTTCAGAGAGACTCAGGCCCTGTGGACTTGGGCACCAAATCCCTGACAGAAAAGTGCCTTTGTTGAAATATTTGAAAGGTACAAGAACTTTAAATTGGCCTACTTCAGGGGTCAGCAGACTATGGTGCAAGAGCCTGATTTGATCAGCTGCCTGAGCTTATAAATAAGGTTTATTAGGGCCTGCCCATCTGTCTGGGTTGTGTCTGGCTGCCTCTGAGTGGCAAAGGTGCAGCTGCGTAGTTGGGACAGTGGGTAACTTGCAAAACCTAAACTCTCGGCCCTTGGCCAAGTTTTCCCGCCCCGGCCTCCGATTCAGATGTAAGTCCCCCACATAGCGTGTTCCTGGGACTGCTCACCGTACAGCCCTGTGATTGGTGACTTCCCTCTGTGGTCCCAGCAACACTTGTGTGGTACAGAGCTCTCCCCAGCCTTCCTCTTGGTGTGGAGCTGAGGCGGGTCCCTGCCACTCAACAGCCTGTTTCCTCTTCTCTTTTCTCTGCTCTCTTCAGCCTTCCCAGCCCACCTTTCCCTCTTTGGCACACTTGGAAACTGCAGTTGATAAATGACTGTGGACTAGTGACCATTTTTTGTTTTAAGAGAACGCCAAGGTAAATATCCCCTTCCCTCCTTTGCTTTCCTTTCCCCATCCTTCAGCAGCTTCCCAGGCTGGGGTGTACGTCTCTCAGTGGGAGGAGTTGGGAGAGGTATTCTAGTTTACTTTCCTAGTATTTACTTTTTCTAGAAGACAAGGGGACATGAGATACCTGGTTAGTCCTGGAACAGTAGGTTTCTTATAACTGTAGCACAGGGGCTCTTGATCATCCACAGAAGGTTCTTTTTGCCCAGCATAGCTGCCTGAGCCTCCTGAAGTAAAAACTACATAGCACCCTGTAGGTACCATGGCTCATGCCTATAATCTCAGCACTCTAGAGGATGAAGCAGGAGGACTACCTTGAGTATGTGGTCGCTCTGCACTAGATGGTAAATTCCAGGCCGCCAAGCAAGACTTTGTCTCAAAACAAAATAAGGACTGGCAGTATGGCTCTGTGGGTAAAGATGTTTGGTGCCAAGCCTTATGACCCAAGTTCAGTCCCCAGGACCTTAGAAGGTAAGGACTGATTCTCAGAGATGGTCTTCTGAGCCCCATACACATCACGATACACACATACCCTCACATGTGCATCTGTACACACCAAAATCAGTATAAGAGAAGCTGGCTTACTTTGAAAAATGAAATGAATAAAATTAAATCTAAAGCCAGCTGTAGTGGTACGCCTTTAATTCTAGTTCTTAGGAGGTAGAGATAGGAGGGTCTAAGGTTCAAGGCCAGCCTGCACTGCATAAGATCTTGTCTCAAATCCTCCTGCCCCAAAGAAGGAAAACAACACTTACAGACCAATGACAGGATAGTCTATAGCCGGTCCTTGTCCTTCATGGGTGGCATCTGGCCTTACAGTGGGTTTCTCTCTTGAAGCTTGCTGACCATGTCCTAACGGCTTTGATGGTTCCTGAGGTGTCCTGAGGCCCATCTGTACAGGCTGCTGCTCTTTGTCCTAAAGGTTCAGTACTTGGTTTTGCAGAGCCTGCTCCCTTGACTAGTGTGAATGCCGGTTTCTTTTTCCCTTTTCCTTAGGGTCCACCAACAGCAGACCCAGCATCCCAGTGGAGGAGAGCCCTGGGCGGAACCCAGGAGTATAACTGCTTGCCAGACAGCCCCGAGCTGGGAATGGACAAGCATGTGGGGAGCTGGGAGAACCAAGCAGGAGCTTTATGCCAGCCTGTCCCCTATCCTGGCCACGTTTTAGATGGCCCTTATAAGCTGTGGGTCCTGGGCGTCCTCAGTGCCAGAGCCTCCAGCCCTCCTTGCTGTCCTTGAAGAGGTGGATTGACAGAGCAGCCCTCCAGAAGCCTGTTTCCGAGGGGACAAAAGAAGCAGCAGCATCTCTAGACCCCAGGGCCCAGCTTCCCCCGATGCTGTAACAGCACTGTGTTTATGTCTCCCTGAGCCCAGTGCCATGTGGGTACAGCCACTGCCTTTACATGGCCTTGGCCTGTGCTCATTTTGCTTTTGATTGGCCAACCCTCTGTTGCTGGCGCCACTTTCTGAGCAAACAAGAGTGGTGGGTTCTGATGGGAAGTGTTCAAATCCATGGCCCTACCGAATACTTTTTGGCTTCTTTTACAATGCCAGATTTTGATTTACGTACCCCAGTTTTTCATGTGCCAAATCTAAGAGCACAGCTCCCCAATAAGTCTGTGCCCTGGTTCTGCTCCCTCCTGTGGAGGAAGCTCCTCTGACTCACGTCATGAGCAGGCTGGCCCAGGGTCAGCTTGCATTTCTTTCCCGCTTGGGCACAGCACCACCAATGAACGGTATTATGGGTTTCTGTTTGAGGTCATGTGTGGAAGGCCAAAGATTGGAGTTGACTGACCCAGGGCCATGCCCACCTGTTGTTCCTGTCCTGTGCTTTTGCCTTGAGCATCCAGGAAAGTGTGCAGCTGTAACGTAGAGCAGCAGTCAGTGAGGACCAGTTGTGAGCTTGCTACATCCTTGTCGCTTGCTAAGAAGTCAAGGTTTTCACGTATCTCTGAAATACTCAAATTCTGTGCGCTTTTCTGTTTCCAGTGATGTTTTAGAGACACAGGGATGGGAAGACACTGTCTTTCTCTTCTAATTTACCTACACTTTCTTTCCACAGTTTCAGCTATGGGGACCATAGATTGGCGTGGGGAGGGAGGATTTCTGGAACCTTCCTTAAAAGAATGTGGGCCCCTGTGAGACTTGGAGGCCAAGAGAACAGTGGAATGCTTGCTGAAAAGAAACTGTAATGGAATATGCTCTAAGAACAAACTTGGGTCGGAAACAAATACTTTAAAAATTACCTGTCTCCAAAACAGAATTCTGAATTTTGGCTGAACCTCAGAATCAAATTAGAACCTTGGCTACCTGTGCTCACCGTGAACCCCCAGAGCTGAGGTCTTGAAGTGGTTTTCACTTCCTCCTAGAAGAGTCCCCTGTTCCCTTTACCAGCTTCTCCTAAAGTTAACATGTTAAATAACCTTGTTACATGTCTCAAAACTAAAATGTTAACGTTGGAGTACTCTTTACTGTGGCCTTGATTTAGATTTTACTTTTTCTTTGATTTTTGGTAATTGGATTCTGGGGTAAGATGCCAGGATGCACTTGGAGCCATTGATTCTTTTGACCTAATGTTGTCTTCTATAGTAATTGCAGATTCATAGGAAGTGGCAAAGATGCAGACAGAGCCCACGTACCCTTTATCTGGCTTTTCCCCATCTCACGAACTATAGTGTGCAGGGCTGTGGAGCCCTGCTTCCCTGCCACCTCTATAGACCTGAGTACCCGCTGTCCTGTCACTACCAGGATTTCCCCTGGACTGTCCCTCAGAGCCACCTGCCCCGGCCCTAAGCCCGAGACCTAGACTATTCCTCAACTCTGTCATTTTGTCGTTTCAAAAATGTCATTTAAGGGGTCGTGCACTATGTGGCCTTTGGGATTGACTTCTTCATTCAGCGTCGTGCTCTGGAAACTGTTCCAGGTCAGTGTGTCAGTGGCGTGTTCCTCCTCCTTGCCAAATGGTGTCCCGTTGTGTATTCATTGTCCTGTCAGAGGACATCTGGGTTGTTTCCAGTTTTTGGCCTTTTCAAAATAAAGCTGCTATGAACATTCACATACAGATTCGGTGTGAAGATTGGTGTCTGCCTTGGGGAAGTGCCAGCAGCACAGGTGCTGGATGTTTACCTTAAAAAGAAGCCGCCTGGCCTTTTGGTGTAGCTGTGCACAAGCTTAAATGTAGGAATGGTCGGGTTTCCAAACCCCCTGGGTGGTCAGGTGACCAGCAGCACTTTGCTGTGGTTCTTGTCTGGTTTTCCTTGATGGCGTCCAAATACGAGCCTGCTCGTGTTCAGCTCGGCGACCGGTCTGTGGTCCTTCCCACGTGTTCATGCATCTCCATCCCCGACCGACCCCTTTTTTTTTCCTTGAGAGCTCTTTAAATATTCAGATTCTAAAATCCTTGGTTGGATTTTTGGCTTGCAAAAATTTTAATCTGTGTAGTGCTGTAGTCTAGGTCTGAGTTGTGTCCCCAAAGCCTGTATACTAAAGACTTTTAATCCCTGGGCTGTCCTTTGAGGTGGGTCCTCCTGGGTTCATCTGGGCTTGACCTCAAAGGAGTGTTGGGCCTTGGCCTCTGCCATAGGCATGTTCTCTCAGTAACAATATTAACAGTGAGCTGTGTTCTCACAGCAGGGTCTTGTATAGGTGGAATTCGGTTTTGGGTTTTCAAGCCAAGAGTTTGTACACAGATAGGCTGGCCTCAAATGCATTTCACTTGCCTCTGCCTCCCAAGTGCTGGGTCTAAAGGTGTGTGCCGCCACACCTGGCTCATCAAAGGTTTTTCTGATTACATTCATTTTTATCAAATTTTCCATTGCACTTTTACCATATCTGTCTCAAATGCATATCTTCCTAATAGTTAGTTTTACACAGTAGCTTGCGATCCGTTTTGAAATAATGTTTCTATAAATAAGACGGGTCATAGCTGTGTGGGTGTGTGGGTGTGTACATGTCTCTGCTTTCTGCTTACAGAGGCCATCTTCTCCCCGGACCTGAGTCCTTTGGAAGAACAATCCGTATTGCTGCTCTTCACTGCTTTGTCATTGGTGTTAGTGGGGGTTGGTTGGTTTTTGTTTTTTAGGCTCAGGCCTCAAACTCACAATCCTGCTTTCTGTCCCTCCCCACCTTCCTACTTAGCCTACTGATGGATGTGTTCCCTCTGTTGTAAAGCCACTTGGGTGTATTTGTGAGGCACTCTGAGTTGTCAACTACTTCACGTTAGTTTTTCCACTACACGCTTGATCACTAAAGTTGAACCCACTTTGGTGCCTCCTCTCTTCTCTTAAAATAGGGTACCAGGCTGGGCATGGTGGTACATGCCTTTAATCCTAGCACTCAGAGGCAGGTGGATCTTTTGTTTTCAAGGCCAGTCTGTTCCACAGAGTGAGTTCCAGGACAAATCTTGTCTCAAAAAAAAGGAGGAAAGGTGAGCCTGTGGGCAAGCTGACCTCAGAGCCGCCCGAGCCTCCCAAATGTTGAGATTACAAGCATGAGACCCATGCCTGCCTTTTAGTTCCCCCCTTTTATTTATTTTTTTTAAATTCTCACGCTGTTCAGCCTAGACTGGAACTCAAAGCAATCCTTAGTCCACTCACGTGCTAGGATTATATAGGAAGGAGCTGCCATGTGGTTCAGATTGTTTGGGGTATACATTTGCTTACAAAGTTTAGAGTAATCTTGTTTACATCTGGCTTGGGTTTTGGTAGGTTTTGGTCTGTGTTAAAAGCCTGTAAGTTATCATCTTGGCAAGAGCTGACAGTCATGCTTTCTAATCCATTTGTAGACTTTAGTATCTTATATTTTTTAGGCTTAAACAGTTGTAATAGAACTGTGTGTTCACTAATATTAGGGAATAGATTTTTGTTTGTATTATATCCTGGACTGTTAAGGTATTTCTGACCCACCACCCACCTAGGATCCCTTACAATTAGCTCATATGCAAAGATTACCATGTCCTCACCCAATCCTTGGAGCCCACCTTCAGGGCTTCTGACCTAATAACATTAGGACTTTGTTTAGAAAGGTCTCACTGTGTAGCCCTGGCTGGTCTGGAGTTTACCATGTTAATGAGGCTGGCCCTGAACTCAGGACTCAAGAGGCAGACCTGTCAGTACTGTGATTAAAGTTGTGCACTGCCACACACAGCAGACATCATGACTTTTAAAACTTGTAGTGATTCTAAGAACAGCTGAAGTCAAGAAGTGTGGTTTTCTGAACTTGTCCATCAAGGAGCAGAGATCCAGGGCCTTACTTAGAGCCATGTGTGCAAACACATGTACCATGTGTGGAAACACATGTACACACACACAGAGCACTTGTTACTGTGTCATACTGTCAGCTGCGATGGTGATGGTCTTAGTCTTTGCAGTTGAGGATGACAAGGCCTTTGGGTTGGTTTCTGCTGTATAGCCCAATATCTGGCCTCCTCCAGTCCCCATGAGACAACGAAGCTGAGGCGAATAATCAGTTTAATGAGAAACCATTGATCTGTATAAAAAGGTGCTGTGTGTGTCAATTAAGTGTCCTCATTTCTGAGGAGTCGTCATATTGAGCAGTCTTGAATGTCTGTGTTGGCCACAGCCCTAGTGTCGAGGTGCACGCAGGCTGGTATGACGGGGCAGGGTCTGCCCCGTGGAAAGATACATATGTGCCCCTAGGAGGGAACACTAGTCAGGTCCTTCACATAGTAACGATGGCCAGAGAGGCTGCCAAAATTAATCAAAATATAACTGCTGCAAAATGGGCTTCAGCTGGGGGGCTCTGCGGGAGGCAGAGCCTTCACCTTTTAGCCCCTTCACTCAGCTGTGGCTTCGGCAACTTCCTGGCATTTAAGGAGCCAGCCTGCCCGCAGTACAAGTTTACACCAGTGAGGCTGGAAACAGCTAGAAGGAAGGCAGCCACGAGGGAGCCTGTGTGAAGTCCTCTTTACACCACCAGTCAGCACAGGGACCAGAGAGGTATGTGTACTGTTGACCTTGTCCCAAAGCAAGGTGCAGGACTCCTCAGTGTGCAGGGCCTACAGATCCTAGTCCGGGTGCTTTCTCAAGCACCAGGGGGCATTAGAGCCTCAGGGTGAGTTAGGGTTGCGGGCCACCGCCCCAAGAGTTGAGTGGGCCACAAGCAATCCCCGGCACCCAGCGCCCTACCCTCACATAAGGCAAGCAGGCTGCCCGAAGCCTTTAGGTAGTTTCTCCAGAGTAACACTAGTTCCAGCTCATCACTCTCCAACTTCCGGGGCAACCTGGTAGGTACTGGCTTCTGTGGGGCCTCAGTCCTGCTGACATGCCCCTCAGCCTGCCAGAACCACCCCCCTTTCAGAGTGCTGAAGACTAGAGATGGCTGGAACTACTCCAGACACTCACTACCAGGGTCGCTACTGCTAGAAATGAAGTCCCAGGAGAAACGCTGCCCAAAGGACAGATGTGACCTGCACTGGTGCCTGGCACTCAGGTGGCCTCTTCTCACATGCCATGGATGCAGCTGCTGGCCACATCCAAATGTCTCCTTCAGGAAGACAGGCCAAGACCAGTCTCCTAGTCTGAGGGTTGGTAGACCGAGGCCTAGACCTAGCTGAGGGTAGCACCCGTCTGCTCACTTGTGCCCTGGCCTCATCTGGACCCCTTTGTTTCTTGCCCTGTGGTCCTCTGCTCCAGCCCTGGCAGGGAACAGTGTTCCTCACTGAAACCCAGGAGGCCTGCTCTACCTGTCACCTCAGGCCCAAGGAAGCAAAGCCAGAGAGAAATTGGGACTGGGGTGGTGGGTGGGTGTGGAATGGTGGCTGTGAGTGACCCACGGGTGCCAGTCATCAGCACCGGGTGCGGGGGTGCCCCACGTGGGCCTGGAGGGCTTCCCGGATGCCCCGCTGCCAGTCTCGAGCCAGCTGCACTGGTGTCAGGGAGGCCTGTGAACAAGGACACTGGGTCAGTCTCCTCCCCGCCAGGTGCTGGGTTCACCTCAGCACCAGCCTTGCCTGGCTGGTACTCACCACGTTCTTCATGCCCAGCTTGGCGCCATAGAGCAGCAGCAGCTTCGTGGCTTTGTGGTGCCCGTAGCGCACAGCCTCGTGGAGTGCTGTGTCCCCTTCCTGTGGGAGAGCAGGCAGTCACTGCTATGAGCCCCAGGTGGGAACATGCTGCTGACACAGACGACTTCCAGTCACAAACACCCACCTTATCCTGTGCATTGATGTGGGCGCCACACTCAATGAGGTGCTCCAGGCAGTCCGAGTGCCCCATGCGCACTGCCACATGGAGAGGGGTGCTCCAGATCTAGGGGTAAGTGGGGTGTAGTGCTGCATCTGGGCTGTGCCTTCTTTCAGGGTGAGTTTCTACTCCCTGGATGCTGGCCCTACCAGGTTACCACCCAGAGCAGGCCCCTGCCCCTCACCTTGTCCTGTGCATTGACCTGAGCTCCCTGGTTAAGCAGCTGCTTGAGAATGTCCAGGTGTCCCCCACGGCAGGCCCAGAACACAGGTGTCCTGTCCAGCTGCAACACAAGGTATCAAGGTGCTCTGACCCACTGGTTACAGGGCAGCTAACTAGATGAGCCACCACATTCACTACGAGGACCACCCTTGCGACTTACCAAATCCCGTGCTTCTATAGCAGCCCCTGCCGCCAGCAGCTTGTCCACCAGCTGTCTGTGGCCCTTCAGACAGGCCCAGTGCAAGGCTGTGCGGTGGAGCTGGGAGCATAAACAAAATTAGACCACGAGAACAGAGCTAGTCCCTAGAGGAACCCACTCCCACCAGCACACCCTCCGTTCCTAGGACAGGTCAGAGTTTCCCAGTGTCTCAGGTGAGGACCAAAGTATTCAAATGGCATACACACAGGTTTCATGTGCTCATTCACCCACCCTCCCTACCTTGTCATGGGCATTGGGGTCCCCTCCGTCTGCCAGGTACTTGTCAATCAGGGCCTCCTGGTTCTCAGCAGCTGCCTTCAGAAACATTTCCAGGCCCACAGGCTCCAGTGGGACCTGGGGCTGAGGCTGGAGGAGAACAGGACAGAACTGAGTCCCCAAGCCCAGAGACACCTGTCACAGCTGTCTCGTCAGGCTAGCCCAGCACACTGGTCCTGTTTGATTCTAGCTGCGGGGCACTCAGAACACGAAGTGTTAAGTACCTATTGTTCCTGTGCCCTCATGCACATTCTGAATCGTAACCTCACTTCTTCGGAATGTGACCCTCTTGGAAATATGGTCATCACACTTGTAATTATATTGGATGAGGCCAGACCCCTGGCTCTACTCTAGGGGTAAGATGCCCCTCTGCCATGGATGTTGGATATGGGCAGGCACACAGAACATGAGCCAGGCCCCAAGCAGCTGAGCAGTGAGTGGATGCCGAAGGACAGCCCTACTCAACATGTCTAGCACCTCAACAAACTGGAATCACCTGTTAGTGTGGCTAAGTCCCCAGTGGCCAGCACGTGGTTACAGCTAGCTGCCTGTGATGTTTGATTCTGTTAGTTTGACAGGATCTAGAATCATAGGAGAACACATCAGGGAGAGATTATCTAGATTAGGCTAGCTGATGCTAACCACCGGACCATGTGAGTGAGACCATTTGGTGAGCTGAGGTTCTTGACTGAAGAAAAAAGTAAGCTCCAGAAAGTGAGCGCTGAAGAGGACCTCGGCAGCTAAGGGCACTTGTTATTCTTGCAGAAGATCCAGGTTCAATTCCTAGCACCTACACGGTGCTTCACACATGTCTCTGCTGGACAAGATGCTCTGTTCTGCTTCCTGCCTGTGTTTGCTGTGTGATAGCTCCCTCAAGCTCCTGCCACAACAGTGAACTATACTCTGAGTGAGTCAAGATAAGCCCATAAGTTCCCAGGGATTCTGTCGCAAGAAGCCAAGCAGCTGCTACGGCGTGCTATGAAATGTGCTGGGATCATCTGTCCTTCCGTAGGAAGGGTCTGGGATGCATTCCATGCGCTACCTATGTGTCAGCTGTGCAGCTGTGGCCCCTGCATCCGTTCCTCCCAGGCCCCCAAACAGGAGGCCATCTGTGCTCCAGACACCAGCTCTACCCCCTCACTCACCTCAACCCCAGACTCAGGTTCCCTGGGGGGGACTTTGCATCTCTGTCGTTTCTTTCTTCGTCTTTGAACCAAGTTTTCCAAGTCTGTCAGATTGTCCAGAGTCAGTCTGGAGCTGTTAAATCTTTCCAGCTAGGGCAGAAGAGACGCCCAAGCCAGACATCAGCCACAGGGTAGGGACTCGGTGCAGGCTGCTCGCTAAACTAGTTCTGCTTTGAAGAAGTACCCCATCACTTTGGCTCACAGAAGCCGTGCTCTAAGCCTCACTGCTCACAGATTCCCACACTGTCCCATTCTTGTCACCCCTATCCCAAGAACACTCACTTTCTTCCTCTTCTCTTCCTCCAACTTTAGTTTCTCCCGGGCCACAGCCTCTTGGGGTCCCAGCGTCCAGCCACTAGGCCAGCCTCCAGGATCAGGAACTCCACGTCCAAACTCCAACGCTTTCCTACCAACTCTTTCTCCACTTACCTGCAGGACACGTAGGCTAGATTAAGAATCGGGACAACGGTAGGGATGCTTTGAAGTCAGTGCCAGGGCATTAAGATGGCAGAGACCTGACGTACAAAGGCCAGATGTGAACCTGGTAGTCAGTCAGACTCTTCCTGCTGAACGTTTCCTGGTGGGCTGCACTGTTGGCATACGTACGTACACACACACACACACAACACACACAACACACACACACACACCACCAACTGTGGCAATGGCCAAGGCCCAGGAGAAATGACTGGCTGCCCCTCTCAGCAGATCACAGAGTTGAGGGGGGTGGAGTCTATTTATACTGCTGGGTTCATGCCAGGTGACACCTTAGCTTCCACCCTGGGCTTCTACCGCCAGATTCCTGCGAGGTTATGCCATACTGCCAGCTGACCCAACCTTAGAGAAGAGGACTCCTGGGTCAAATTCCAAATCCCTGCTTTCAGCCCTCGGGTCTTAGAGAAATTACATTTTTGCCTCTATAAAATGGGCTCAGTGACCATCCCCCTACAGCCTACCCATTCCCTTAGCAGCCTGGGGAGCTGGAGAACACAGAGGGTACTTCTGGCCAAATGGTCCAGCCTTCCCGTCTAAACCACTTTAACAACCTCAAGCCTCTCGACCCAGCTTTGCCATCTACCTCCCAGAGGGAGCCAGCTGGGGCCACTGCACCACAGCGAGGCATGTGTGCCTCATACCCACCATGCCCCGCATCACCAACTTCACACGGTGGCACTGCCATGGCTGTTTCTCACTGCCAGAGGAGCCCAAGAACACCTCTAAAGTGGCCAGACCCTCTGGAAAGTTCCATCTAGACTGCCCTGGCCTTGAGCTAAAGGAACTGTATGTACAGCTCTACTCATGGCTTCCAGAGTAACTCACCATTTCCTTTCCATTATCCAGACAAAGGCAAACCTACAAGCTTGGGGGTGCAGCTCTGCAGTAGAGTGCCAACCTAGCATGTGTGAAGCCCCAAGATGGACCCCCAGGACCACATTCACCAAAACTAAACAAACAGACCCAGAAACTCGAGTTTCTCCATCTATTACCCAGCTTCTTCCCCAGTTGTCCTTCCTCTCTTGACACCCCTCATGTGAGACCTGACCCTCGGATTCCAAAAAGTACCCATTGCCCTCAGCCAGATTTCACTACCCTGACCCTGTCACAGGTCTGGGTCCCTGTGCCTTGTGCTGACTTCTCCACAGTCCCCCACCCTCCGCTCACATCCTTACCAACTGCTGAATGCTGATGAAGTCCATGGTCCCCCCTGCTCTCCCTGCACCTGGCACCCAATGAAGCGAGCTCAGCTCTTTTATGGGAGAGCTCTCTTGGGGGTGGGGAAGGACAAAGCTTGTGCCCAGGCCAGATGACTCTGGGGCCCTGTCACACTAACCAAAATACAGGTCTGGGAATGTGGCCTGCTGTGGGGCAGGAAAAGGAGCTGTTTGGAGCTGAGTTGGCAGTCTCTTCAGACACCCACTGCCCTGCACCTGCCACACCCCACATCTACTAGGGAGCCATTTTACCACCACATGGGCTCGGATGCCTGGGCCAGACCCAAGGGAAACATCTCTTACTCTTCAATTTAGAGCCCACTGGTGGTGAGTAGCCCAGGCTCACAGTATAAATCTGGCGGGTGGCCTGAGATGCTGCAAAGATCCAGTGCAGTCACCCCCAACACAAAGTAGGCAGCCTACAGAGGAGGACAACATAAGAGGCTGACCTAATGCCTTGGGAATTCTCATGATGAAACCAGGCTTCATGCGATTTCCCAACTGGCTAGTCTCGAGGCTGCCCTTCCCGTCCAGATTTGTCCCTCAGCAGGCTGACAGCCAGCATGGTGTTCTGCCCAGCCTGTCATCAGCACTTAAGACAGCTGAAGGAGCCTTCCAGGTCCGCATCAGATACTCTTTGGGCATGAAGCATGCCCTTCAACAGGGGAAGGGGACGGAGACCTGCTCCAGGTCTTGCTCAGTCTATGTTAATACCCATGACAGCCAGCCACGAAGCAAACTGTTTTTAAGCCAACAAAATCAAGTGCCTAATTCTTCAGAAGCCAGGAATGTTTTTCAGTCCGCTGTGCCCCAAACTCCAGCTTGACCTTTGAGAGGAAATCAGACACCCAGTAAACAAGATTCCCACACAGGCAACATCAACAGAGATGACCGTATAAGTCCAAGGGGAGGTGTGGCTGACTGGACTGGAGACCATGGAGGGTCAGCAGAGTGCTTTTTCAAGCTGCCTGGGTATGCTCTCCTTGCAAAAACACCCTTGGTGATGAGGGAGTTACTCCTAATAAAGAAGGCAGATAAAGTTGGAGTAGCTCTGCTCTCCACTGTCCCACAGTTGATGCCGTTGGGCATGGCTGCATGTGACTGTTGTTATTCCAGTACTCAGGTGGGCAGAGGTGGTACATGCCTTTAATCCAAGCACTCTGAAGGTGGAGGCAGAGGCAGGAGCATTCCTGGGAGTTTGAGGCCAGCCTGGTCTACATTGCCAGCTTGGAAAAAAAACCCAGGACTACTGCATAGAGCTTTTCACAAACAAACGTTTTGCAGTCAGGCTGAGGAAAGAGGATCTGGGGTTCAAAGTTCTTCCGAGCCAGCCAGGCATGGTGGCCCACACCTTTAAACTCTGCACTGTAGAAGCAAAGGCAGGTGGGTCTCTGAGTTTGAGGCCTGCTTGGTCTACAAAGTGAGTTCCAGGACAGCCAGGGCCACACAGAGAAACCCTGTCTCGAAAAACCAAAGAGAAAGAGAGAGAGAGA